TAGTCCTGCATCTTGGTTAACCTTACATAACTTCTCCCTATGACATCACCAGGAACAATTGCTTTTAATGGGCCCAGCACCTGGACAAGGGAGACAACCTTCTCAGGCTCTGACACTACATCTAAATAGCTTTCTTTGTGGAAATGCTGGCCTGAGCAGGAGCCAAAAATAAACTGAAAAGCCAATTCCTGAGAGACCTGTCATCAAGGATGCTTCACACACGGCTTTACAAAAGCAGGGTAGTCATAGACAGCTTCAATTTGGAAGCACTCAGGAGACCCTGAATGTTGTAGCAACTTTAATGACAAAGATGGCCAAAAGGTGGAAAAGCAAAGGAAAAACACAAACAGGCCACCATAGGAGGAAAGAGGAACCTGAAGGGGTCCTGCTGTGCCTCTTACAGAGCTGCTCTGTGCATACAAGACAGGTGGAGACCAGAATGACCCAATGTGTCTAGCCAGGCTCAGGAAGATGTTAACATCTGGCTTTGTTCCAGTTTACCACAAAGGATGACTGGCAGTGGAAAGGGGTGGCCTCTGCAGAGGAGACCTGAGGCCGGACAGAGTTTCAAGTAGACAGATAGGGCTGCAGGAGCCAGGATATTGGGGGATAAGGGACTTTGCAAGAGGAACTGGCCACCGTGTGTGTGTGTGTGTGTGTGTGTGTGTGAGAGAGAGAGAGAGAGACAGAGAGAGAGAGAGAGATTCTTTTGGCATAACTGGAGATTGAACCCAGAGCCCTCACACTGAGCTATATTGCAGCCCTTTGTAAAATTTTATTTTTGAAGAAGAGCCTTATTAAGTCACTAAAAGTTGCCTAACTGGGCTCAAACTTATGTTCCTCCTGCCTCAGCCTGCCAGAATGCTGGAATTACGGCATTCATCACGTCCAGCTCATGTGCTCCCTCTTTCACCACACTCACGATGGGGCCATAGTTCATGTCTTTTTTTTTTTTTTTTTATACCGAGCATTTCTTTTTTCAGGACCTTGGGATTGCCAGGCAGGTACTAATGCCACTGAGCTATGTCCCTGCCCCCTCCCCCCAGTTCACATCTTGTTACCAGGTGGCTTCAACCCCCAGTGGTACCAGCATGACTGTCCTCTAGGGCAACTTTTTATTAATTTTATTAGTAAAATACTGATAAAAGAAGCCAAGGAGGGGCCAGGGAGATGGCTCAGTAGGATAAGCGCTTGACTGGCAAACGCAAGGATCTGAGTTCAATCCCCGGTTCCACCAAAAAAAAAAAAAAAAAAGAGGCCAAGAAAATAGCTCAGTGGTCTAAGCACCTGCCTGGCAAGCATAAGATTTAACTCCTGGTACCGCATGCCATGCCACTCAGCACTGCATGAAGCTGGCCACAGAAACTGGGCATGCTGGCACATGTTTGTAATCCCAGTGTTGGAGAGGCTGGAAAGGAGAATCACTACGAGTCTGAGTTGTGTAGTAAGACCCTGTATCTACTAAATAAATAAATGTTTAAAAATCAAATTAAAAAAAAAAAGACTGATAAAAGTAAATAGATGTTTGTACCATCAGTGGTACAAGCTGCCCAATGGGACACTCACACGGATGCCAACAGTGGTCCAAGCCACTGGTGGGAACACATTATGCCTTCAAGAAGCTCAATATGGGCTACTGGGAGCATCAGGAGTGTGACCATATATTCCACAGCTTCATGAAAAAACAACTTTATTTCTGCTGCACATTTTCATGGAGGTGGCAGGAAAGTCACTTGCTACCCCATCTCTTCCCTTCTGTTTGTAAATATGCTCACTAAAAAATTAAGAGTATAAGCTATCTACTTTCCCTATGGTAGCCCACCCTGTGTCTTACAGGGTGTACTTTTATTTTGCTTTTGCTTTTTTTTTTTTTTAACTTGGCCCAAGCTCACTCTGCAGAGCCAGTTTCTCACCCACTCTTTGCTTTTTCAAATAAAACTTGCTACCACTAAAATAAATAAACAAATAAATAAGAAACTAATACTAAGCCTTTATTCAGTACCCTCCCATTTAAAATAAAAACTATAATTAAAAAAATACTCCAGGGTCTGCCTAAGAAACATTCCATATTGAATAGTCACTATTAAAAAGACCCCCCCTTCAAAAAATAAATAAATGAAAAGATTACAATAGGTTAAAAAATTACAATAGGTGGCAGAATGACTGACTCTCAAAACTGTCACATTATTCTATAAATAACTAGGTTCTCAGATCTCTTACCTAGACTAGGGATGGGTAGGAATAAGAACCTAGACAGTCAGTCTTGGTCTAATGGTCTTTGCTCAAAGCACATTATCACCTTGATGGAAGACATATGGATCAGGAAGTGAGAGAAATGTCCCCTACATCACAATGCTACCAAGTTCCAAGGCCCACTCTAGCACCCTTGCCAGTGTCCCAGGAGCAAAGAAGGAGACATTCTGCTGACAGGGTCACATGTGCCTGCAGTTCATGGTAACAAACAGCTATCAGGTAATAAACGCTCCCTTCCTGAATAAACCCTAACCCACTCTCAGGTCCTTAAAATCTACGCCCGGCCATCCGTAACCAGGTACTACATTCCACCCCCATCACCCAAAGGAATTTCTGTGGCCCTTGACTTTTGCTATAGAAGCGGTAACACTAAAATGGCAAAGAAAACACCACAACCAAAGCCACAGAATGGGTTCCAAAACACACCAAGTCTCAAAAGGACAGCTTCAAAATCCATCTAAAGGGCTGGTGAGATGGCTCAGTGTTCTAAAGCACCTACTTAGAACAAGCTTAGCAAAGCACTGGGACCATGGTTCAATCCCCCAGCACCACATGCCAGCCAGCCCCGCCCCCTGGTGGGTTGAGCTGGCCACACACACACAAACACACAAATAAATAAAATTTAAAAATGTTTATCAATAAAACTTTGAAAAAAAAAAAAAAAAGAATGATAAAAAAAAAAAAATCCATCTAAGGGGGCCACGGAGATAGCTCAGTAGAATAAGTGCTT